AATTGAAGAATATGATAATATACAAATACTAAAATAAAAAATTCACTTATTTATAAAATTTAAATCCTTCCTTCCTTCCTTCCTTCCTTCCTTCCTTCCTTCCTTCCTTCCTCTAGGACTCATCAAATACATCTTTCTACCAAATAAGACCCATAATATGCCCATTTTTTTGAGAAAGAAGGCAAACCAGCAAAAAACATTGCTACCCACAATGATCCTCTGAGTTTATATAGACGGGTAGAATGTTTGTTGGTTTTGAAAACCACTTGGATCTAAAGAGGAGGTGGCTGAGCTCATAGTCCTAAGGACCGATCCATTTTCTCAGGCTCAATAGATCCAAACTATTCCCAGATATTGAAGCCTTCACAGGCATTGGCCCCCTGGATCTGTGAACAAATTACAGCAACTTTGTCTGATAGATGCTAATATAATCAAGACATGCATGCAGCAACTCAACAAGTGACAACTCTGAGCTACAATTCTCTCCATTTATCTCTTGATATTTAAATATTCTGCAATATCAATAAATATTTAATTGTTTATGGATTGTCTCATTTAATATCCACTCTTTAAAAGACCAATTGAAGTTATGATGTTATTGAAGGAGCAGTACTTCTTTGAGATCCTCATAGTTGTGCTCATTGCAGTTCCATGATCACAAAATAAAAATTAAAATCTTGCTAAGAAAACAGGAAGACATGTCCAGGCAGTCATCTGGAGTCAACAGATTTTCGACCAACATCTAAAAATGGAGATCATTATACGAGCATAGAGGCAGTATACAAAAAAATTAATTATAAACTCTTGATTCAGGAAATGGTATAGTGAAAATGGACCAATTTTTGTTATGTCTGATTGGTTGTGAATATTGGAAAACGCAATAGCTTATATTTCATCTGGATTCCTATTTTTAGGTCCAGAAAAGAAAGAAAGAAAAATCAAAAATCAAAGGATGGTAATAGGAAGATAAATGCAACATCATTGCCTTATGCTTAATGTCTCTGAAATATCTATCCTATTAGTTATATTAAGTATTACTGAGGGTCCAGAAAGACTAGGTGGAGAGGATTACTTCCATAAAACTATTACCTTATACCTAAGCCTCCTTCAAAGCATTACCCATGATCCATGAAGACCCAAGACTACAACAAATCTGAGCAAATGGCAAGCAAAATTTCTGAGCAAAATTGTCACGGGAAGAAATTGTACTTTATTTGTTGACATGGTTATAAACCTAGGCACATTCCAACTTTGGACAAATATTTATTTTGTGCATTTGTGCATCTGTCTCAGTTTTCTGAAACTGCAAAGACTAGCAGAAAAAGGAAACACAACAGTGAGGAGAGTTTACAGTAAAAGATTCAGAAACATAATTCAGTGTTTTTTAATAAGTTTGTCCTTTCTGTTTAAATCAGGTCTCAGAAGAATAATATAGCATTTTGGGAAAAAGATACAGCCAAGCAACCCCATTGCTGAAGCCAGAATAGAGAAGATCTCCACCACCACCATGTACTTTCCCTTGGTGCTCAGATAGGTGGGAACAAATGTTACCCAAACGC